GAACGAGGCCAAGGTGAAAGAATCAACGCTTATTATTTTTCAGTTCTAAAGAAAGAGTTTTCTCTTAATTCCAGGCACAACTCGCTTTGGTACAAGCCAAGACCACGGCAGAACTGTCCCAGGCTAAGCAAGCGTCCATGGAAAAGGACTTGCGACTCAGCGCTGCGGAGCATGCGCTGGCGAATCTAAAACAGGTACTACAAACTTCGAAAATTCTCTCCAGACATGACACGTTTAAGATTGTCAACGCAGGTGAAGATAGAGTGGTGGGGTGTAGCTTCCAAAGTCGAGCTCGCTGGAAGCTTCAATGGCTGGCAGCACTTTTTCGTGCTGGAGCCCGATCTTTCGTCCGAGATCGTCAAACCAGACGGATCAAGGTGAATTTATCACTGTCGGCTTGTTTCTCTTTTGCTAAACTCCAAGGTTTTTTTTCTAGAGGTCCGTTGTTGTGGGAGACCGAGCTATGGCTCTATCCTGGCGTGTACGAGGTAACGAGTTTCAAAAGTTCTCTTCGATCGATGATGGCTGATAAAAAGAAAACGTTTTCTTTCTTCTTTGGCCCAGATGAAGTTCGTCGTAGATGGCGAATGGCAAATAGATCATAGGCGAGAAGTATCGATGAAAAGCATGAACCAAAACAATATCCTCCGCGTGGAGCTGTGAAACATAGAATGGAATGGAATATTCGCCGGCATTGACGCAGTCCGGCGGCATTCACATATAATGGGAAAAAACTAGGGCGGCTGTGATTCAATCGATCGATCGATCGAGGAAGCGCGAGAGGGAATGGCGGCGGGCGTGCAAGGGCAGCTCCTCGATATCAATGGTGAGTGGAATTCCAGATCTTGGCGCCCTGTCGGTGGCACTGTCGCTCCCATTTTCTATTTCTCTTTGGTGGGAGCGAATTTCCTGGAGTGATTCGGCTAAGAATCTTCTTTGTGTGTCTTGGCAGTTCTAGGATGCAGGAATTTGAGAGACAAGGAATGGCTGTCGAGGCAGGATCCATACGTTGTGATCACTTATGCCAGTAGCAAATTGAGGACAAAGACCGACACAGGTAAGGAGCTGCTTGCTTGATCACGAGCTAAGAAAATTTCTCGTTTGCCTGTTTGTTTGTTGTGCTCCTTGAGTTTTTCGGTCATTTCGATCATACGCTCATGATCACTTTTTTTTTTCTTTTTGGGTTTGCTGTGCTTGATCACTTGTTTGCTAGAAAAATGTTTTCTTCCATTTTCTTGATCATAAGCTCATGATCACTGTAGCTAGCTTTTTACTTGATCACGAGCTAAGAGACTTTCTTTTCCGCAGATGGAGGAAGAAATCCGTCCTTCAACCAGAAGTTTGTGCTGCCTCTCATCGAGGGGCTCCGTGAGATAAACGCGGAGGTGTGGAACAGCAACACGCTTACATTCGATGACTTCATTGGCTCTGGAAGGTGCGTTGTGCGATTTTTGTAGCTTGCGTTTCCTCGTGGACGTCATGCCTGACGCGGCCCTCGTAAATTTTTTTCTAGGATACTGCTGGACAAAGCTCTCACCACGGGCTATGATGATTCAACGTGGAACCTGACATCAAAGAGTGGAAGGTATCAAAAATCGAGAAGAAACAGGAGAGTCTAAAGCTTACATTTGATCTTTCTTTTCGCAGATATGCCGGAGAACTGCGGGTCATTCTACACTTTACGAAAACGGTAAGCTTTAGACTTGATACTTTCAACACTGTTTTTCTTACTTGGGATCTTCTTTCCAGCCAAAACCAGTAGCTCCGATGGTCTCGTCTCCATATGCAGCGCAGCTATACTCCACGGCTCCACAGCCTTATCCGTACGCTGCTCCACCACCAACAGCGGCCCCATATCCAGCTCCTGCGGCTCCATATTCGTCGCAATCATACTACAATCCACCACCACAGCAACAGCATCAGCAACCACATAGTGGAGCGTATTCCAGCTATGGACCTGGACCTTATTCGCCACAAACATATCCATCTCCAGCTCCCCAGGCCGGCTATTCAGCAGCTTATTCTCATCCTCCACCACCATCTCCGTATACGCATCAGCAGCCACCTCCTTATGTTCCTACAGCTCCAGCTTCGTATGGGCCTCCTCCAACTTCGTCTGGCTATCCTCCAGTATATCAAGGTTTGTAGCTAGCACCTAAGTTCCTGTTTAAAATCTTTGCGTGAGAGGGGCTAACTCAATCTTTGCAGAGTATCCATACCGGCCGTATTGAAGCGTTTTTCTTCTTTTTTTTTGCTAGTGATCAGTCACCTGTACATAAGATTTTCTCGTAGCTTTAGAGCCAAGCGATGTATTCTGACAAGAATCTAGAATAATGGAAGTGGGCTTACTTTTTACTGGAGTTGCTCTTCCACTAGAAGCCGCGCAAAATCATTTGGAAAAGGATATTTCTGCTAAACAGCTCAAGCACAACTCAACAAGTTGGAGCAAAGTTACCTGTATAAATGGTGGTGATGGATGGAGTGGGAGTCGTCACAGCACCGAGCGAGGAAGAGCGATGGAGCTCGTCGTCCGCAAAGCAGTAGCAGCATTGGTGGTGAGTGTTGTTGTCACGCTTGTCCGTGTGGAAGCTCAGCTCGTTGTTGGATACTACGAGCAAAATGGATGTCCCATGGCCGAGGAGATTGTCAAGAAAGTTCTCACCGCGGCCGTGGCACGAGACCAATCCATCGCTGCTTCGTTGCTTCGTCTCCACTTCCACGACTGTTTCGTCCAGGTCCGTGATCAACTTCTGTCTCGCCTTTCATCTAGGCAGCATCGTTATCGATTTGAAAAATCCGTAGTCATTGAAAGAATTCTTGCTCACCAATCCTCGCCAACTTGATGAACAGGGCTGTGAC